AAGTCAAATTTACATCATTGACAGACTTCAAAGAAGTTTTGTAAAATTTAAAAATTAGCATGTGTTGTGTATTTATTATTTATTGATTACAACAATAAATAAACAAATTTGCAGTGATCTGTAAATATGCAGATTATTGCAGCTTTTTTTGATCAAAATCTGCATTTTCGCAATTTTTTGCAGATTTTTGTTAATTTGATCAAAAAAACTGCGATAATTTGCATATTTGTGGATCGTTACAGATTTGATATCTCCTGAATTTCCTGATGTTATTTAGTGATACAGAAAAATATTTATATAAATTATTATAACAATAATGTCTAAATCAAAAATTGGCTGAATATAATGAGGCAAAAATAATTCTCAAAGATTTAATAGATCTTGATTATAAATCTGATTATAGAGAATATACATATTATAAATATTGACTTTCATCCAATAATCATACTAACTCTGCTGATAGAAATGAAACAACATTTTTAGAGACATACCAATCCAAAGAGATTCATTTTCAATATTATTATATAATGATCTTTTATCATAACATTTCATATTATTGAATTATACATATTTCATATCTTATTAGATAAAAGTCAAATTATTTGAAGTGAGTGAACAAGTAAATAAACAAATGAATAACTAAACAAATGAGTAAACAAATGAGCAAACACTGAAACCAATAAAATTAGTGAATATGAATTCGTATAGTTGACGAAATATAATTTGAACATGTATAAAAGCAATATGTATTATAGTTATTAGAATTAGATATGAACAAGTCCTTTTAGATAATAATTCTCAATTATCACATCTAAATAGTTATCACATAGTTTTGATCATTCAAAGAAGTAAAGTTTGCACTTTATATAGAATAAGTAGTCAAGCACAAACTTCTCTTTACACCTTTTTGACAAAGTATTCATTTTCTTGTATAATAGCTTTATAAAAAGTTATATAAACCTTGAATCAATATATATTATAGTAGCTTAAGCAAGATTACCAGAAATGTTATAAAAGTTATCATCTTTATCCTAGACTTTCTGAACACATTGTGATAAAGTCTATTGAACATTATATTAAATAAAGAAATTATTATTATAATTCATAAATCTGTCTTTGAGATTGTATTGCTAATAATACATTGCTTATAAACTTACCTTTGATTTTGTATTGCTAATAATATATTGTTTATATATTTATCTTTGATCTCATATTACTAATAATATGAATATCATATCTTATATTTGATCTTTAAAAATTTAAAGATGTTTTTAATATGTATATTATATTTGACATTGAGATTTTGAGAACTCTCTTTAGCAATTCAGTTATTGCATTAAAAGAACACAACTATTACCAACCTTTAAGTGATTCTTATAAGTACAGTCAAATTCTTCTATAATCACCAGTATTCTCAACAGTAAGCTTGACAATATCTGTTTTATATTTCTTTTCTAACTCTTCGAATCAGTTCTTGAGCACTGTATTTTCTTCTATAGTCTGTTTCAATCTTATGTTCTTGACTTTAGCATTCTCCTTTCTAAGTTCATCAATCTGAAGAATGAGCTTGAGATTTAACTCTTTCAATGAAATAATTGTGGATTGTGCGTTTGCCATTTTTATATAGAAACCAGTTGTATTCAAAAGTTTATTTATCCTCTGTCTTTAGCATGCTCGAAGTCAGGATATAACTATGTTATCTAGTTTATGCATCTAATAATTTCTGGTATTTTGTGAATTATAACTCAGATACATTCGCATAACATGAACCACACAAAATTTCCATAACACCCGTCACGATAAAAATCGTGTTAATAAGTACAAAATCCAAATATGAAAAACGATCTGGTTAAATCGATCAATTAGAGATTTTTTTACGCATTTATTTATTAATAAATTATCAATTGCAGTTAAAAATGACGAATCCTGCAGAAGAGTTATTCTCAAAAGAAGCTTTCGGTATGTTTAAAAGCTTTATCATTCATACATCATTTGCAGTTATTCTAATTATATCACATTCACATTTACAGATTTTTCTGAGTACTTTATTAAACGAATGGTATGAGCTTGACTTCCTTAATTGGCTGAATGAGATAAGTTGTTTTACACAAAGATACCACTTAAAGACCGAAAAACAAGATGGCATGATCAGTTTAGAAAAGCATTGGAAAATATTAGATCTCGAAGTAAAAGTTATCTGGAACAGATGACAACCAATGACCGCAACCACTTGAGATCTTTTGCTACAACTGCATTAAGATCAGTGACTAATTTCTACGAAAAATTGGTAAGTTGATTCTGTAAGCATGAGAAATGAATATTGCAACTGAACAGGTCAGTATAGAAAGTTCAGGTGCAAGATATCTCTGTAGCCATACCATTACAGAGACATGGCTCAGTTCGTATGGTTAGCCATCTTGGGCATATAGTATGTTATAACCGAACAGGCCGGTATAGGAAGCTCGAGTTCAGGACATCTCCTGTAATCATACCATTACAGAGATATGGCTGAGTCTGTATGATTAGCTGTCCTGAGCATATAACCACTCTATAATCATTCTACAAGGCTATAGTGACATCAGAAGCTAAATTACTATATAATGTTAAACTAAAACAATTCCTTTCCTATTTTTATTTTGAGACTAAAATTCTGGGTAATGTTTCTGAATGGTGAGAACATGTTACTACACGAATTGAACTTAAGAACACCAAAAAACTCGAAAAATTAGTTATGGCTAAAGACTCTCTGTCTCAGGTTAGTTAAAATGGGCGTGTTTGCGAAAGTATTGAAATAGATTCACTTAAAGCAGAACAACTTCTAAATAGGTTGAGTGGACATAATGATGCTTGCCTAAATCCTTTCAGAAAAATATCATCATAATTTCGACAAGTTACACACTAATTGTTAATTAGAATTTCAACATAATTTCGGTTATGACGGATTTCAAAATTCGTCAGAATTTTGACGGGTTATTTACTAATAGTTTATTATAATTTCGACAGAATTTAGACAGTCACTAAGAGATTTTGGCAAGCAACCTTAAGTGGACAGCAAGTCAAAGTGAAAAAACAAGAAAGAGATTTTTGGAAGTAGATACATTAGATAAAAATGATTTGAAACATGTGAGTAAATACATTTTCTTTAACTGTAGCCTGGGAATTGACAGAACTAATTGTTTTTATTTCAATATTTTTAGGATGAAAATATTTCCAAAAAAATCTGTCAAAGCACCAATGAACTACTACTAACTCCCGTAAAATTATTTTTTCATTGTGTTTTTATCTCATCATGTACAGTAAATTTATTATTTTTATCATTTAGGCCTTGGTGATGGCAACAATGACAAGTATGATTTTAGAAAGATTGAGAGAAAAAATTATGCTGAAAACACTTCAGCTGATGAGTTAGATTTAGATCATCCGGAGGAAAAGATAATTGTAAGCAATAAAAACAATACATTATGGTTCAGATTAAAAATTACTTTTTCTATATTTAATCTAAAATTTTCACAGGATGAATTAAATTCTGGAATATCATCTGTTTGTGAAGATGAACATGAAAATTTCTCAGATGTCAATTCTGATAAAGAGTTCTTAGAAGATCTCAATACTACAGATGTTTGTTTTATCATTCTTGTATTTCAAATTTTTTCAAATAGTTTCGTACCTTTACCAATTTATAATCCAGTGTACAGTTAAAGTTTGATAAACTGAAGATCCTGGATTAATCAAAAATCTTCAGTTTATGAAGAGTTCGAGTTATCAAAATCTCGACATATAATGAAGTTTATAGCAAATTATAGTAAAATTCAGTTTATTAAGCATTTGTAAATCACATATATAATAAACGTGATCGAAACCCATGATGAAGTAATTAATTAACGCTAATTCAACAATAACAATAAGCTCATCAAAATAACTTGTCTATTAATGAATTTTCACTATAAATTAAAATATTTGTCCATTGTTATTTGTTTTTTGGAATCAATTACAAATTGTATAAGCTTTTGTTTCGCATGTCATAATGCAGCAAATTCATAATGATCTAAAAGAAGTATTTCCACTTGTTGTTCAAAAAACTTGATAACAACTTGAATACTCTCAGTTGCTTTAATAATAGAAACCTGCTTTTCATGATCACTCTCTACAATCTCTTCAATATCTTCGATGTACTGAATCAGCAATATCTTCTTCACAAAT